CAGCTGCAACGGCAGCTGCCACTTAGAGACCACCAATCCGCTGCTCAAGCTGCGCTCTACTTTGGTGCCAGTTTACTACCCAACAGCTGTTTATGAAGAGGTATTGACAATAATAAGATCCTATTCCTTCATTAACCAGCTAGATATCGGACGGATATCAGGTGGCCTTTGCCCCACAATAGCCGTGTCCAACCTGAATGTAGCCTTGGAGCAGTGTCCTAATATGCCCCTTTCCCCTATCAAGTATTAATTCAGCTTCTTAGATGTATGCAAAAAATCAGGTTACGGCGCCATCACTAAGTGAAGATAGCCTACAAGTGTCATAGGCTAAACCCCTTCAATTTGGTTTCTTCATGCTATCTCGGTACACCTTCCGAGTGTTAGCCCTAGCACCATCTTTGGTGAAAAGGGCCATGCGATTTGTTCTACGAGTAGTTCCGGTATGCTGCCGCTGTGGATTTCGCAACGCAGTGAATCTCACAGCGCAATGGAAGGGCTATCTTACAGGCCAGTTAAAATTATTATTACTTGATATTATAGTGTCTTACTATTAGTACTACTAGTAACTTAGACACGGACTAGCAAGGTAAGACCTTAATAGTAGTAGTAGGTAGTATTATGTTCTAAGATAAATCCTTAGCCTCTCTTTTATATAAGCTTTAGAATTCTATATTATAAGCTAGCTAAAATGCTTTTAATTAAGCCTTCTTCTATACCTAGGAATCTAGTGTTTAATATCATTCTCTTTCTTAAAGTATTACTATTTTAGCTATATAAGTAGTTTTTATATAAGTTAGAAGAGTTAATTTACTTTAGATTATAGTAATTTAGTATAAGTTATATAATGTAACGGCGCAGGTAAGGCAGGTCGGATCTGTTTCGGTCGTAGGATCACTCAGAGGCATATGGGAGTGCGTGGGATCACAAAGAGCCTAGATTCAACAAGCCACCCATAGGCCTTGTACGAAAGGATATCAAAAGTCTACAGAGCTAGCTACAGGGAGTGTCTCAATATATACCTATCCTAGTCGGGTCCGAATTCGGATCCG